TGTGTGTGTGTGTGTGTGTGTGTGTGTTTGAACTCAGGGCCTGGGTGCTGTCCTTTTGAACCAGAGCCTTACTTCCAACTTTTTGGGAGTTTATTGGAGATTATAGTCTAATGGACTTTCGTGCCTGGGCTGTCTTCAAACTACAATCCTCAGATCTCAGCCTCCTTAGGATTTCACATGTAAGCCACCACTGCCACCTCAGAACATTGGTTTATGAGACTTTTCAGTACTATTTGTGCAAGTTTTCTGTTAACTTTGAAATTACTACAAAAGAAAAGCAATTAAAAAAACAAAAAATGAGGACTGGGAATATGGCTCAGAGGTAGAGTGCTTACCTAGCATGCAAGAAGCTCTGGATTCAATTCTTCAGTACTACATCAACAGAAAAAGCCAGATGCGGCACTATGACTCAAGTAGTAGAGTGCTTGCTTGAACAAAGGAAACTCAAGGATAGTGCCCAGGCCTTGAGTTCAACCCCCAGGACTGGCCAAGCCAGGTGCCGGTGGCTCACACCCATAATCCTATACAGGAGTCCAAGATCTGAGGATTGTGGTTCAAAGCCAGCCCAGGCAGGAATGTCTGTGAGACTATTTCCAATTAAACACCAGAAAAGTGGAAGTGGTACTGTGACAAGTGGTACAGTGCTCACCTTGAGCTGAAGAGCTCAGGGACAGAACCCAGGCCCAGAGTTCAAGCCCCACAACCAACAAAAAAGAAAAGAAAAAAACATGTATATATAATAATAGTAATAGATAATATTGAGTGAAATAACATTGCTCTGATTAAGATTGCTCTATTTAGGATTGAGAAAAAGTCAAAAGGATGGGCTAGAAATGTGGCTTAGCAGTACAGTGCTTGCCTAGCATAAAGCTTTGGGTTTGATTCTTCAGTACCATATAAACAGAAAAAGCCAGTAGTGGCACTGTGGCTGGAGCAGTAGAGCGCTAGCCTTGAGTATGGAGAGGCTCAGGGACAGTGCCCAGGCCCTGAGTTTAAGCCCCAGAACAAGCCAAAAAAAAAAAAAAAAAGTCAAAAGGAACCCCAATGCATTCCAAGAGAATACTAGTTACGGTATTAGATTAGAGCTCTTTTCTTTTCTTTTTTTTTTTTGCTTACCAGAATGGTGTCTAGCAAATCTGAAAATAAAGCTGCTTATTTTCAATAATGAAAAAAATTGTGGTTTATACACCAGAAGTTATCTTCAGAAACTAGTGAGCTTTTTGTCCAGCTGCATTGTAAATAAACTTACTGAAGCAAAAAAAAAAAAATATTAGAGGTTTAAGAAATTTTGCAGGGCATGTGCTTCCAGTTACTTAGGGTACAAAAGCTGGTCAACTATGAATTTGAGGCCAGATTGAGGAAAGTTATTGAGACCTTACATATTTTTTCTTTTTTTGGTACCAGTCCTGGGGCTTGAACTCAGGACCGTGCACTATACCTGAGGTTTTTTCACTCAAGCCTAGCACTCTACCACTTGAGCCACAGCTCCATTTTTGGCTTTCATGATGCCTAATCGAAAGTAAGAAGCTCACAGACTTTCCTGCCTAGACTGGCTTTGAACCATGATCCTAGGATTACAGGTGTAAGCCACTGGCATCCGGCCAGAGTCTCACTTAAAACAAAATGAAGAGGCTGGGAAGGTAGCTCAGCAGTAGAGTGCTTGCCTTGCATGCATGAGGCCCTGGGTTCAATTCCTCAGCACCACATAAGCAGAAAAGGCTGGAAGTGGCATTGTGGCTCAAGTGGTAGAGCACTAGCCTTGAGCTGAAGGACAGTGCCCAGACCTAGAGTTCAAACCCCACGACCAACCAAAAAAAAAGAAAAAGAAAAAGAAAGAAAGAAGAAAACAAAAGAGCTGAAGTGTAGCTCCAAGTAGTGAAGCACAAGTCCATAACACTAATCCATAGATTCAATCTCTAACACTGAAAAACAAAAAAATAAGATGGATTAGGAATGTGACTTAGTGATAGAGTGCTTGCCTAGCATGCATGAAGCCCTGGGTTCAATTCCCCAGTACCACATAAACAGAAAAAGCCAGAAGTAGCGCTATAGCTCAAGTAGCAAAGTACTAGCCTTTAGCAAAAGAAGCTGAGGCCCTGAGTTCAAGTCCCAAGACTGGCAAAATAAAATTAAATTTAAAAAATGAGAGGCTAAAACCAAGCAAGTATTTACCCAAATTTTTTATTTGTCCCAATATGGTTTACACCTGGAACAGAGCCAAAAAGCACATGCCACAATGTTCACTTAATTATAAAAGAGACTTTCTACTTGAAATGATAGCTCTTCCAATATGGATTATACTGGGCTGTAAATGTAGTAGAGTGGTTGCCTAGCATGCATGAAGCTCTGGGTTCCATTCCTTAGTACCACATAAACAGAAAGTGGTGCTGTGGCTCAAGTGATAGTGTGTTAGCCTTGAGCAAAAGAAGCTCAGGGATGGCACCTGGGTTCAAGCCTCAGGACTGGCCAAAAAACCCCAAAACATATATATATATATATGTGTGTGTGAGTGTGTGTGTGTGTGTGTGAATATATATATATATATATATATATATATATATACTCTTGGTAAGAATGTAAATTAGCACAGCCACTATGGAAACTAGTACGGAAGGGACTCCAAACACTAAAACTAGAACTACCATATAACTGGGCTATATCACCTGGGTATTTATCCAAAAGAAATCTAAAATGATACCTGTATGTTCATGTTTATTATAGTACTATACACAATCCCATATATA